AAGAGAGAGAGAGAGAGAAGAGAGAGAGAGAGAGAGAGAGAGAGAGAGAGAGAGAGAGAGAGAGAGAAGAGAGAGAGAGAGAGAGAGAGAGAGAGAGAGAGAGAGAGAGAGAGAGAGAGAGCCGCCGGAGGTATGGTAGCAGGTTCCACCTCAACAAGCGTCAAGTTCCGTCTGGACACTCCTGACACTCCTGACTGAGGTGGGACTGCGGGACGTACAAATGGGGTCTAGGAATGAATGCACATACGTTAGCGGTAGCAAAGTATGCTGGGACCGACATGGCAGCTCCGCACGCCTACAATAGCGCTGGGGATTCTGAGAATAATGACATGCAAACAGGCCGGTATTCTATGGCTCTCAGAGACGACACTTGGCGGACGTGGCAGCCGTCTCCTCCTCGTGACTCTGGCCGCGGTAGCGCTGGAACGCTTCTGAGCGGAGCACCGCCGACAAGACACCGTTGTCGCTTGGGAGATTATGACTTAAACGATAATACACCGTTGGTATTTACATTCACTGTTTTAAATGATGAGTTGAATGCCTGCCATACTACACCTCCGTGGTCGGAGGAACAGATGGGTTCAACGGTTCAAAGGTCAGATGGAGGACCAGCCAGGTGACGTGTCGGATGGAGGACCAGCCAGGTGACGTGTAGGATGGAGGACCAGCCAGGTGACGCGTTGGATGGAGGACCAGCCAGGTGCGTGTTGGATGGAGGACCAGCCAGGTGACGTGTTGGATGGAGGACCAGCCAGGTGACGTGTTGGATGGAGGACCAGCCAGGTGACGTGTTGGATGGAGGACCAGCCAGGTGACGTGTCTGATGGAGGTCCAGCCAAGTGACGTGTTGGATGGAGGACCAGCCAGGTGACGTGTGGATGGAGGACCAGCCAGGTGACGTGTTGGATGGAGGACCAGCCAGGTGACGTGTCGGATGGAGGACCAGCCAGGTGACGTGTCGGATGGAGGACCAGCAGGTGACGTGTCGGATGGAGGACCAGCCAGGTGACGTGTCGGATGGAGGACCAGCCAGGTGGCGTGTTGGATGGAGAACCAGCCAGGTGGCGTGTTGGATGGAGGACCAGCCAGGTGACGTGTTGGATGGAGGACCAGCCAGGTGACGTGTTGGATGGAGGACCAGCCAGGTGGCGTGTTGGATGGAGGACCAGCCAGGTGGCGTGTTGGATGGAGGACCAGCCAGGTGACGTGTTGGATGGAGGACCAGCCAGGTGGCGTGTTGGATGGTTTGATTATTATAAGCGTATTTCATTATAACTATGCGTCGCTGCACTACGCAGAATGGCCTGAGTAACCGGCACGCTTCATAATACCAAAATCGCCCGCTGCATGCTCATTTAGACCATTTTGGGAGGGCATGTAGCGAAGAACATCTGGGGCAGAGCGTAGAGCAAATTGTCCTAATTTCGCCATCATGAGAATGGATGACTGCAGTGTATCATCAGTTACGTGCTGTAATTTACTGGCGTCTTTAGAAGGCCATTGTGTTAAAATGTTGCCTACATTGGGAGGTTTAGCATCAAGGAGACAAAATATTTCTCATGGTATCGTAAGGGTTGAAGAAAAACTTTGACTTAGGAGGTGATCAGTCATCTGTCGAAGGCTGGTAAAAGCTCGTTCTCGTGAGATATAAATGACGACATTTTCCAGCGCCGGTCAAAAGAGACAACACTTTATATCTTCCGTGCCGAGCTGACCGGCTTGAGCCTTGTGTAGCGCGCTAGGGCAGAAGTGGAGTGCCAGACATTTCAGGGGTGCAAATCACAAAGCGATGATCCCCATCGATGGCCGATCGAGAGTCTGAGGTCATTCGGGGCCGGAGGGCCCAGGAGCCTCTCGTCGGCCGTCGGTACCCACACAGCCATCTCTGGCAGCGATCAGCGGCGGGCCGGGTCGGACTCTACGTCATGGCAGCCGCGCGCCCGGCGCCGTACATCAGAGGTGGCGGCGGCGGCGGGATCGGAAAGCCATGGGCTGTCGCCGGCCGGGCGCCGGCCGTTCGTCAGAGCGGCCGGCGCCACACGCCTGAATACAGGCCGCGGCTGGGGCGGGGCCGTCGGCGCCCAGTCAGAGCTGGCATCGCGGCCTCGGCACCGGACGAGCGGCTCTAACCTGCCGTATCATGCGCTGATTTAGAACCACTGTCGCTGATGGCGGACTAGGCGCCACCACACGCTCCGCTGCATAATCAGCTGGCTGGCGAGCGGCGAATTTGGAAAGGCGACAACAGAGTTGTGGAACTGGGGCGGACTGGAGTCACTGCTTGGTTCTTCATCATGTCGAAACATCTTGATAGTTTACGTTACATATAAACTGTTAACGGAGCACCTGCATTTTCACACGCCATCATTGTAATATGGAGAGCACAGGATATTCAAGCACGCCTGGTACCAGCAGGTAGGTGTTTACCCACATCGAAGACAAACACCTATGTTACAGGGGTATTGAAATGGTCAACGGCACGAACTCTGCCATTATTTGCATGTGAACTTATATGGAACATGTTGCACGACCATTTAGATGTGAGTCATTTGACGGCAACGCCAGGTGGGAGGCAAAGCGTGTTCTACTTTCGCTTTGCATCACTGAGAAAAACACTGTAGGGTCGGAAACCACCCAAAGCTTCCAAATATCACAGGCACTTAACAGGCATTCCAACCATGTTTGACATGGAAAAGATCAGTTGAACAAAATAGGCGGCATTAATTCAAAATGCATGAACTTTGAGAACACATATACACACCCCTTGCCTTCTTATAGTTTTCACTTTAACCGTGACAAAACATCCCAGAAACTTGCGATCGATTCGAAACAAATTGATCAAAACCTAAAATAACTCAGCTATGAAATACTTCTTAAAACATAGCTATAATGAATGCAAGAATTGTCATCAGATACTGCCTTGAGACGGAAATGCCGCTAGAACTATCAGCTCCTGCGGCAAATGATGTTTAACCAGCGTTTTCAGCCAAGTCCCCCCCCCCGCCCCTCTAAGTCATTGCTAGAACACTAAAGTCTGATCAGTCGATGAACATGGCCCCATGCTGGAGCTGGGTTCTTACCGTGCTTACCCCGTTCGGGTAAGGGGTCGACTTTTCACAGAAATGATCTCCTGTCCGCAAGTCATAGCCGTCTCAGTTCGACTGTCACAACTCTAGCCGCACTCGTTACAAATGAGCGCACAGTGATCTCCCATACCCCATCACGCTGATCACAACTGATGACTGGCGTGTCACGCCTACTTACCGATGAACCACTTGATGATGGCGGCGGGTTGCCGTAGCGCGCGCGGCACTGAACATCCACCTCCTCGCCCACGCGCACGGTCAGGTTTTTGCCCGAGGCGATCAGCGCCGTGCGGTACTCGATCTGCGGTGTCTTGGGCTCCACTGGAACGGCAGGCACGGCGCGGTCAGTCACCTCCCCGTCCACGGGTGTCGTCAGCGGACAGAGGTGGACGGCACGTGGCCAACGCGTCCCGTCAACGGGTGTCGTCATTGGACAGAGGTGGACGGCACGTGGCCGACGCGCCCCGTCCACGGGTGTCGTCAGCGGACAGAGGTGGACGGCACGTGGCCGACGCGCCCCGTCCACGGGTGTCGTCAGCGGACAGAGGTGGACGGCACGTGGCCGACGCGCCCCGTCCACGGGTGTTGTCAGTGGACAGAAGTGGACGGCACGTGGCCGACGTGCCCCGTCCACGGGTGTCGTCAGTGGACAGAGGTGGACGGCACGTGGCCAACGCGTCCCGTCAACGGGTGTTGTCATGGACAGAGGTGGACGGCACGTGGCCAACGCGCCCCGTCCACGGGTGTTGTCAGTGGACAGAGGTGGACGGCACGTGGCCAACGCGCCCGTCACGGGTGTGTCATGGACAGAGGTGGACGGCACGTGGCCAACGCGCCCCGTCCACGTGTTGTCAGTGGACAGAGGTGGACGGCACGTGGCCAACGCGCCCCGTCCACGGGTGCCGTCATTGGACAGAGGTGGACGGCACGTGGCCAACGCGTCCCGTCAACGGGTGTCGTCATTGGACAGAGGTGGACGGCACGTGGCCGACGCGCCCCGTCCACGGGTGTCGTCAGTGGACAGAGGTGGACGGTACCCGGCCGACCCGCAGTGAGCTGCGCCAGCTCTGGCTCGTGGGATGGCTGGTGACCGTGTTGGTAAGCAGCATCACCGGTGTCAGAGTGGTGATGACCTTGAGAAATGGTCTTGAACCGCCGTCACCACCCTGGACAAATTGATTTCGCCAGAGGCACGAGCAGTTGGTTCGAGCCGTTCGACCGACTCTTCACTGCAGGCCCACGTCAGTAATGGCTCACCATGACGCTGTATTCATTCAATTCGCCCAGTTGGGAGAAATTCATTCTACGCTTCTACCACGTCGGAGTCATGGCTAAAAAGCTGTTTTCTGTTCTTGAGGCGTGGCCGACATATTGCGCATTTGCTGTTGGTCGTGTGAAATGGAGTACCAAAAACACAAGTTATGAATTGAGAATTGTTATTTTAATAACGGTTGACCTGTAGCATGGCATGATGCACGGCTAAACGACGTTATCAAGCGAGCATTGCCTACACTCACAAAAAGCCGTTTCAAGATGTTATCATGGTCACTAGTACCAGTCGGCATAGTCGCTAGCAACCAGTCGGCATAGCCACCCGTGACCATAAGGTCACTAGTACCAGTCGGCATAGCCACCCTGACCATAAGGTCACTAGTACCAGTCGGCATAGTCGCTAGCACCAGTCGGCACAGTCACCCGTGACCATAAGGTCACTAGTACCAGTCGGCATAGTCACCCATGACCATAAGGTCACTAGTACCAGTCGGCATAGTCGCTAGCAAGTCGGCACAGTCACCCGTGACCATAAGGTCACTAGTACCAGTCGGCATAGTCACCCATGACCATAAGGTCACTAGTACCAGTCGGCATAGTCGCTAGCACCAGTCAGCATAGTCACCCATGACCATAAGGTCACTAGTACCAGTCGGCATAGTCGCTAGCACCAGTCAGCATAGTCACCCATGACCATAAGGTCACTAGTACCAGTCGGCATAGTCCTAGCACCAGTCGGCATAGTCACCCGTGACCATAAGGTCACTAGTACCAGTTGGCATAGTCGCTAGCACCAGTCGGCATAGTCACCCGTGACCATAAGCGCATATTGAAACGTCAAGTTTGTTAATCAACCAATACCTCCTTGTCAACGTCTTATAACCGGTGTTGCCTAATATACTGAAGATCGATTGTGGTTAGAGTACGAACTCTCACCTGGTCACGCCGAAGATGGGAGCTCAATGTCTTTATTGTGTATCTTGAAAAGTGAAAACTATTGCCAAGAGGCACGCCATAATTCACTTAAACACCTGAGCATTTTACTGAGACAGAATGGGGAAATGTCGAAGCTAGATAACTTTTTTAGCAGCGTCAGTTTCGAATTTTCCACAAGATTACGTTCCAGCTTAAAAGCACGCTTAACCGAGCTGCATTAGTGCGCTTAACCCTTGCGGGAGATTAGAACAATCACACGACTACGGAAACGCCTATTTTCATTAATGGCATGCGGAAAATAGATACAGTTTTCGCTGACAGTGCGCCGAATATAATGCCAAGACAGCACACAGAGACAGCAGCAGCTTGCTATTTCAGCCGGCCCGAGCTGGTTTAATTTTCGCAAATGTTAATTGGATCCAGGCGGTGGGGGCAGGCGGTACGGCGCAGCAGCGCCAGATCATGCCAGCTGGGACAAACACGGCACCATCAGGTCACGACAGCCGGGGGGGGGGGGGGGCGGCTACTGAGTGCTGCTTGCTTGCACACTCGGGCACAGCGTCACTTGGACCATCACTAGCCCACGATGTACTGCAGGTTGTCAGCTAAAACCGTCCAGCGGTTGATGCACGTTCGAAAAATGATGGCACGAAATAGCACATGGTTGTTTTCAGTTGAAGTCTAATAAACCTGCGCCGCGCTGCGCCACTGTCTCGGCTGAAATTACCGGATTTGTCATCCCTGTCACGGCTTTTACTGCTCGCTCCATTTTCACGGTCCTTGCACTGTCAAGTTATCAACGGCCCGGAAGAAATTGATGGTGCGTCGGGAGTACTCCACCTTATTTTGCGCAGAGCTTCGTCGAGCGACGTCGTAAACGAGACCATGAAACTAGAATAGCAAATGCAAAATGCTCGAGTGCGATTCTAGCCGCGAACTTTTGACTTGCCGTCGGTTCAACTGACAGTTTCCTTGGCTTACCCTGGAAGGTGCCGGGCACGCCTCCTGACCGAGCACTCACTCCAGCCGACCAATGGGCTTCTCGCCGGGGTTCCTCACCCGGTTCCCTCACTCGGGCTCCTCACCCGGGTTCCTCTCGCACTCCTCACAGCGTCGGCCGCACCGGCCAGAATGTTCCCAGGCTCCTCTGTCGCTGTTTACCTGGCCGGGCCGCTCTCCGCCACACCGCCGCTCCACTTCCTAAGCTAACACTGCGACCGCCGCTGGCCACACCGGCGCCAAACAACAACAAACGGCCGCGCAGTGAGCCGGTCGACGGGCGACGGGGCGGCGCTGGGCGGCGCGAGCGGCCCTCCCCGCATCGACGGCCCGCCAGGAAGGAAGCTCCGCCGCCGAGCCGGGCAAACACTCGAGAAAAATACCCGACCACCGCGAGCGGGGAGCGGCGGCCGGCGGACGGCGAGCGCGACGAGTGGCTCCGTATTGGGCGCGCAGGAAGCGGGCTCAAGGGGGCAGTAGGCGCCGACGAGTGAGGCCCGTTCGTCAGCGGTCAGCCATGGATGCAGGATGCAGCGAAGCCGCCCGCCACGTGACGCCCATTGGCGGCGTGGTCGTCGGAGCTTCCGTGGACAGTGACGGATGTGGGGAGCAGAGTCTATACGGAGGGTGCGGATCAGGGGCATGCCAAATCTTGTCATATGCATCAGCATGGCGGGACGTCGGCTCCGCTGTTTTGATTCTGATGCATGGGTCTACCCATGGTCGTATCCTTTTCACAATGGTCTACAGTCAAGCTCGGCGCCATGCTGACTGCATCGCTGTGCTCCGCTTCACTAGCCCGTCATTTGGCGCCGGTTACCGCCGCTGACTCGTCGGGTGCCTCGTCCCAATATGCCGGTCTCGCTGGAGACCGTAGCAGGCGGCGCATCTCGGGAGGAAGACCAACGCCATGACCGGGGCCCACCTGCACCGGGCCCTGCTCTGTAACCCGCCAGCGTCGATCCGCCTGCATCACCATCGGTGCCGGGTTTGAGTGTACCATCCACAGGCACCGGGTTCGACTGTATAACCCCGTTTCCGGTCCCGGCTGGATAACCCCTCCTCGCTGGTCCCGGTTGGATAAACCCTCCTCGCCGGTCCCGGTTGGATAACCCCCCTCACCAGTCCCGGTTGGATATCCCTTCCTCGCTGGTCCCGGTTGGATAACCCCTCCTCGCCGGTCCCGGCTGGATAACCCCTCCTCGCCGGTCCCGGCTGGATAACCCCTCCTCGCGGTCCCGGCTGTGTAACCCCTCCTCACCCCGGTTGGATAAACCTTCCTCGTCGGTCCCGGTTGGATAAACCCTCCTCGCCGGTCTCGGTTGAATAACCCCTCCTCGCTAGTCCCGGTTGGATAACCCCTCCTCACTGGTCCCGGTTGGATAACCCCTCCTCGCCGGTCCCGGGTGGA